ACCTGATGGCTACCCTCTTAGCTGGGAGTGTGAAAATCCGCGAGATGCATAAAGCAACTATTGCCGAGAACTCCCTGGATATGGATACTATAAACACGGTTTTGGCAGTTTTTGGCAACACCGTTTTTAGAATTTCCTTAATGGGTTTCTCTGGGGAAAAGTTTTTCAGCGATGATAACAACATTCTTTGCAATTATATTCCTTTGGAGTGAAAAAAAAGAAGCGAAAATCACAGGGTTCCTCCTCTCATCCCCAGGGACACTCGTTTTCATTTATTTCGAACTCGAGAAAGTGCTTGTTAAATGTGTTTCTGAGACTCATATTAATGACCTCTTAAGTTTAGTGCGTAGAGTGCTTAGGAAACATGCCGGCCGAAGAAATGAGAACCAATAATGTAAAGTTTAGCTAATGAGAACATGTGAAAAGTAAGAGAATAATGTTATGTGAATTAAGCGCTTGAGAAGTACTGTATATCAGTAATTTTAAGGTGTATATATGCAAGAAGTATGCCATGCTTTTTGACAGATTTCTACTCCAAATGCAGTCCATTAGATTTACTTTGGTTGCATTTGGCCTCTCACCAGTGGCAGGTATCAACAAAGTATAAATAAAAGGGTTAAGTTTCTAAAGAATCCGCGGTGCTTCAACGGTGGGGGTTTAATGAAATATTTTGGTTTTATCAACTGAGTTGAGAATGTAAAATGACAACCGTACAGAGTTTCCAAAGCGGAATAATTTTCCAGCGTTAGTCCTTTGTCAACTGTACAGGAGGGTTGAGTTTACAACAGCTATCAAAAAATGTAGAAATATGGGTATGTCATCGCCAGATGAGAAAATCTAACAAATCCTTTAAGAGAAAAAACTGGAAACATATCCCCCAAAGTAGTGTGGCGCCACAAACTCCTCTAAGGAGTATGCAGTAATAAAATGATAAAACTTTATGTTCACGATACAACAAATTTATGTAAATATATTCCAAGAACAATTTGTTTCTAATATTTGTAAGACTTACCTCTTGTGTGTTATTTTAAAAGTGCTGGTGAGATCAGGGAAAAGTGAAAAGTAATAAGATAGTATAGCTTATGAAATTGGAACTTGTGAGAGTCAGGGAACAATGTTAATGCAAGGACACATGAGAAATATTGAATTTTTATTCATATTAATATGGTGTATGGTTAGTTTTTGGGAGCTTTTTTAAAATTAATTTTATTTTTATTTTTCTTAGTTTCTTTGGAACTTTATTTTCCTCTTCAATTTCATGTAGCAAATTTGTAAGATTTATTTCTTTGTTTTAAGTGTGAATGTTGAAACAGTATGAAACACGAAAGAAACGGCGCTTTTTTTCTTATCTGAAAGCTATAATTTGGCCACAATTACAGCTAAAGTTGATACACTACAACTGATTTACGCGCGTCGCCAGCCATTGATAAACTGTTAATTGTTTGCCATTGATTTCAAAGCACCTCCGGTTACGAAGGACATCATATATGCATACTTCAAGCTTGCATTGAGTCATGGTCCAGGGGACTCTTTCTTTCGCAAAGCAGCTGCCATTATGGACAGCGACAGCAAGTTTGCAACTTTAAGAACGCCGGTTTATTGAGATTGTTCGTCCCATAACACCTAGGCCTGTGGAGTCTTACTTGGTACTTTGCCAGTTCTAGTGACTTTCTCTGAAACATTTCTCTAATGGACCGAGGTGGCGCGATCGCAAAATGGTCAAACGTTGCCTCCATTTCCGCAACAGAGGTAAGGAAGCGCGTTTGTATCAGATATAAATTTGGACATGAGGTAAATACTTTTATTTTGAGTTTCTCAGTTTGCATTTTTTTCTTCAATTTTTTTTTTTAACTGTCCCAATTTTCCCTGATTTCCGGCAACGAAAGACTCTTTTACTGCCGAGGATTGCTAACTTTTACGTTATTCTCACGTGCTACCGTGTATCGCCGCTTCCTGTTAAGCTACACAATTTGAACTTAAATGTTACAGATGTCGAATGCACAAAATATCGCAGAAAATACGTGGTGTTTACCCTCGGACGAAATAAGTAATTCGGGAGAGTTAAAAGGAATATCGAAATGATTCATTTAATTTATGTAGTGCTAGCGCTGGTGATCGAAACAATCAGTTTCATTTTCGAGTCATGTTGCTAGAGTATGCAGATCGTGTTTTGCACTAGCTTTTATTTTAGGATTATGTATTAACTTTAATAAATTGCTCCCCTATTAACGATGCATCTAATCAAGAAAAGATAAACATTTCAGGCGTATTCCTTGGGATTATGTTTATATTAGTTTGCTTATAACAGTTTATTTTGTACTTTTGATGGACTGTTAGATTCTCCTTGCAGACAATGCATGTTAATTTATTCCCCTATTAAACATTGGAACAAGTTGATGTTTCTTCAAATGTCAACTAGGGTTTTATTCGAAATGTCCTTTCAGTTGTACTCAATTTTCAGAAATCCAATTCAACAACTGTTAATGACTGATTGGTACCTGACTGTAAAGTTTTGCCTTTTGCTATCTGCTAATTAAAATATGATCAGCATCAAGAATCAATAACTGAGTATCTCCAATCAATTTTTTCCTATTAAAACTGGTTTAGTTCTACATTTGTCTGTGTCTGGTGATAATTTACATTATTACATATTGGCAAGTTAAGTCTTGAGGTAAATTCAGATTACTGAGTCATGGTTCTGATTGGTTCTTACTTGGTCAGGATTTGCTATATAGACCATTTTCTTGAAAAGGTCTTACACAATGTATTTTTTCTTGAAAGCCAGAAAGTTCAAAGTAAACTATTTAAGTATGAGTGACATTTTAAACTACTTGCCCTTACTTTGCTTTTTCAAGCCATACATGGAAATATTGACATCCAGTCATTTCTGTGCTGCCACAACCTTGGGCCAATATTATCCCATATGACCCTAATTGTGCTTGTAT